ATGTGAAATTCATACAGGAATATTATTATTTAATAATTTTATAAATATCTGTATAAATATGAAAATATTATAAACACAGAAAAATAATAGATTTTAATAAATAAAAACATTTTTTGTCAAAACAATTATTAACTTTTTTATATATATTAAAAATATTTAAAGTCAAATTTTAAATATAACTATTGATATTAATGTTCTATATGATACATATATAAAAATATAAATTGAATTCAACGATATAAAGTACATAATACTAAGTACCAGCAATCATTTATATTATTATATTTGTAAAATTTTATGAAAATGAATTAAGTAAAACTTATTATAAATAAATAAATTATTTTATATATTCGATTAAAAATTAAAAAGAATACCAAAAATTTGTGTAAATGTAATTTTTTAATTTATTAAAATTTTTATTATTATAATTGTGTATTAGTTAGATTATAAATATACAACTATACATAAAATTGCAAATATATTTGAAACTATAAATTACATTTTTCATACATTGTATGACATTAAATATTGAAAACATTATTTTTATTTAAAATTTTTATTTTATATAAATAGATGTTTAGAAAAAAAATTGAGTATGTTGTCTACTACATTTTTAGTTAAACATTATTTAATAAAAATGAAATAATAATAATGGAATTAGCAGATTAATACAAGATTTTAAATTAATATAATTAAATTAAAAAATTTCATTTTGTGTAAGAATATAACAAGTAAACTAATTCCGAATAAGAAAAGGAAAGAGAAAGAATGAGTGGGCACTGAGAACATGTAAATTGAAATATAAGTAGCATTATAATATTTATTTTATTTTTCAGTCACAGTAATTTGTAGATTCTTATCTGCAATATATGTATAACTGCAATACAGAATAAGGCGCTATATCACAAACTAACCTTTTCAGTTCTTCAATTCGCGCTGAAAATAAAAAATAATAAATTGCTGATTTTCACATAGTTTAGAGTAGTATTAGGTACATAGTCATAGAACAGATTAGACTATGTTTCATTGCAATCATTAATCATAATCTTAAATGGATTTGATAATTAACAATTTATAGACTTATATTATATCGCTCAAATTAATTTTCTCTATCACAAATGCAAGCTGTATTTTTTTATTGTTTTCATAGTTCACATGATTTATCGGTAGACTTAAATTTGGGTATTTATCTAACTTTATTATATTATTAAGCTGGAGTGAAGAACAATAGTTCGTTTTCATAGAATTCGCGCTCATTATAAATAAAATATGGCATTCAATTAGTATTATTGATACAGTGATTCATAATTTTATGTGGCTATAATATAAAGAAATTACATTTCCTATGCTTTATTTCATACAATAATCAGTTTTTACAATATTATTTTGTATAAACATCTACTTTAAATCTAATTTAAGAACACGAATTAGTTTTATTATAAAATATATGATAAAAATATATTAATTGTTAGTTTTAAGAACTTAGTATGAGATTTTCTATTTTTTATAAATATGTTTTAATTAGAAGTAATAGATTTTTTAAAGAATTTATGTAGTAAAACTATGCAAAAGTGTTAAATAAAATGTATATAATTCTATATAATGTTTATATTTTTTCATTTATAATCAATAAAGTATATTGTATTACTTTTATCAAATTATAAACAAATTCAATTTTATTATATTATATTGTATTATATTATTTTATGTATTATAATATATTGTATATTGCATATTTGTATCTTATTTTATTTATTTAAGAAAAAGAACTTTAATGATTAAGTATTGACACGAATATTGTAAGTACTTTTGTAAAAAAGTAATTTTTAAACAAAATTATACTTAAATAAATTTGGCATTTTAGTACAAAAAAGTACGAAAATTATATTAAAATATAAAAACTTATTAATTTTTATAACGCAATACTTCAGATTAATATGTTTAATATGGATAGAATAAACTTTTATTAGACTTTGAAATTTAAAAATGATTTTAAAAATATTAAATTTAAAAGAATGTTAGTGTTATCAACCGATTGTCAATTTAAGGATTTAATTTGTTTTGAATAATTTTCACTCAAACCAAGTAAAATTGTGCTTCAAGATATTGCATGTACAGTATATGTATATATATATATATATATATATATATATATCTGTCTACATGTATCAAATTAAACAAAAATACCAATTCCATAAATTTATAAAGATAGGTTTTTTATCCATTTGTAATAATATTTTAATGACATCGAACAAAAGTATTTATTAGATATAATAAATGTTCCTTAAATTATAAGTCGAAATACTATATTATAAGTTGAAATATAAATCGAAAAGATATATTCTTGTCATTATATTTATCTTGTAAATAAAATGCATTCATATTATATTGATATTAATATTATCTTTGCAGAAATTAGTCTTTAAAGCATTAAAAACTGATAAATAATCCTTCATAGAAAGAGAGAGAAAGAGAGAGACTGAGAGAATAACTTCGTTGTCGACGTTGCAGCGACCTATAACGTGAGATAATGAATACCATAAAACCGTCTCACCTAAAGCCCTCCACGCACTCTTGTCGTTTACGGCAGTTAATAAATTTAGCGGTTCGAAGGATCTTCCTCTTTCCTCCTTCTACAAATATCACACTGTAACGATGAACAAACTAAAATAAGAAAAGCCAAAACATGGGTTACTATTTCTAATTTTTATACTGCATTTATGTAGTATTTATAATTTTTGTTTTTGTATACGCATATGATATTTGAGTACTTTGCTACTATTCTTTTGTACTAGTCTTAAATATATTGTCCTAACGTTTTATATTATATTGAAGAAATACAATAAGATGACAGAAATAACATAATAATAATTTTTTTATATTGTAATCAAATTTTTCTATCACTATAATAATATTATATAACTTATTTTCTTTTTTAATTAATTTAATTTATTATTTTAATTTATTAAAATTATTAATTATTATTTTTATTTTATTTTAGATTATTTATATTATAAATATTATAAATAATATAATTATAAATACATTATATTATAATAAAATAAAAATTATTAAAAATAATAATTTAATTAATTAAAAAATTTAATTAATCGTATGAAGTATTCATATATAGAAAACATATTTTTTATAAATCAGTAATTATGAAAGTTACATGTTAATTTTTTTTTAATTAATTTTTTTAAGGATCTCTTTTTTGTTTTATAAAATTAAATTTTACATTTTAGAAAAATATGTAATTAAATACGTTAATGTTTTACACAAAAGTTCTAAATAAATTTAATATTGGGATTTTTAATTAGCTCTATAAAATGATTGGGATTTGTAATTTTAGAAAAATGTCTGTTTGTAAAAATAACAATAAATATAGTTTCAATTATATAGAATTTATTTTTGAATGAAATATTTAAAATTTATTATTTTGTTTAAAATTGTTTAAATTAACATAGTTTAAAATTGTCCTTATATTATTATTTACCTGAATAAACCTCTTATTATCAATTCAAATTGTTAATTTTAACTGAATTATAAGTTGCAATTAATTCTTCCTATTGATGAACTTTACATTCAATCAAATACTAAAATTTTATTTTATGTTTTACTTGCGTCTTCAAAAACGAAGTAATATAACAAATAAATCATCTTTTGCAATTTTCGTGTATACTTTCTTAAGTTTACGAAGATTTTGCTTTGAAAAGAAGAAAGTCAATCTGTTGAATCAAGGTTTAAGAAACGAGGCTCGAGAAAAAGCAGTACAAAATAAGAGCAGTGACATCAAGCATTGTGAGAAGGCCTCAAGTTTCGACATCAGTTATTGTGCAGTTTGCAAGCGATTGTACCTATTCAAAAGAAACTCTTGAGAAGCGAGCATTACCAAATGCATATTAGCCAGCGACGGTTCGCGACTGTTTAAGAGCTCGTAGTCAATCTCTTCGGCAGACGTTTATGAAGAGGGAATTAATATACTCGAACACTTTCGTAACCTCCCAAAGAAACCTTCATCCAGTGTGATATACACTCGTGGCCGTTCCATTCTTTTTCTTTTTCACTCACTCCCATTCTTTATACCGTTCTTTTCTGAACTCATATTCTCCTTTCGTTTATATTATAGTTTTCTTTATTTTCTTTTTTTGGGTTTGGTTGCTTGTAAACTTTAAAGAGTTTAAATTAAATAGCTTTGCATGAACATAGTGCGTTTTTAATTACATTGACGATTATTGGATACATTTTTGTACTGTGCATTTCTCAATGTCATTAAAAATTTATCTGTAGCATAATATTGTGAGTTTGTGATTTGACATTTATGATGCTTTATTTTCGAGGCAAGTACGATATTGAAATTTTTTTTAATATGAATTCTTAATTTTACATCAACATGTCAAATAATATACTAAATATTTCTTATGAAATAAATTAAATGCCATACGTTTATACACCAGAACTTATTTTTTCAAGTATTACATTTAGTAAGGAATTGAACTAGTGATTTATATAAATACATATTTTACAAGTTACGAAATAAATTTATGTATAAAATAAAATAATTTAATTAAAATAACTTATTTAAATTCAGCCTTTTGATGTATTTAAATGTTGACTACAAATTTAGTTATGTATTATTATTTATTTTATATTTGTTGTAATTTTTTAATAAAAATCTAATAATATTAAATGTAAATATCACTTATAGATAATTATATATTACTGTTTATAATATTATAATATTATGTTTTATTAAAACTGACTGATTTCATACATTAATAAATTCTTATTATTTTTTAAATAATGAAAGATATTTTTCAATTAATTATAAAATTTTTAAATTGTCATTAACAATATCATTGAATGTAATCAAATTGTATATAAACACCTTTTCTTATCTTATCATTATAACATTTATTCATAATTACAGTAGTTTGTATTATGTATATCGATATAGTTGATGTAAACATTTTTCTAGTTACCTGTGTTTAATTGTTTAGGAAAAAGCTTCAGCATAACGATAACAGTATCCACTACACCACCTCAAGTTGCAACGTATACTAGAGCTATTAAGGTTACCGTTGATGGTCCTCGAGAACCTCGATCCAAAACAAGTAAGTAAATTAATTAATTAAATACTATTATAAACTCTAAATTTACCCATACCTGTATTCCAAGTTGCGAATTTATTAACCAATTTAATAATATACTATTTTTGTATTTATTAGAAAATTTAATGTTAGAATTATTATAAGAAGTATGTAATTTTATTGCAACAAATCTGATAAAGATCTACAAAATTCAGCTTCTAACTTATAATTTTCTTCTTAGTAAATGATTATGAATTAATAGTCCAGATTTTTTTATCAAATTCAATTCATGAAAATATTTGATAAGCAGCATTTATTTATTTTCTTTTTTAAAATATTATTAAAAAAAATTATATGAATATATATAATATTGTAATGTCGATTTATATTTTTTACTTGTAATTTTTACATATAATTAATTTCTTGTATTATCAACGCAATTTTAAATGCATATACTTTAGCTATTATCAATTGTACTTATAAGATATTCATATTTATAAAATTAGCATAAATATATATATAATGAGATTATATATGTTTAAGTAGTGTAAATGTTATTGTATAAATAAATTCGAATATAATTATTAAATATTATTTATAAATAAATTTATAAGTACGACTGCAGCTTATTTTTCAAGGAAACTATTATAAAAAGCTTTGTATCCTCAACATCGAAAATTTTCTTAATTTGCAGGTAAAAAATCGTTTCATAAATAAAAAATAATAGATAAATTTGTATAATCTTTTCATTATCTTATGAATTTAAATGACATTTTATTCATAATATTTTTATTTTCATTTCATCATGATATTATCTTATTCATTTAAGTAACGGAATAATAATTCAATACATATCGCATAACTTTATATATGTATATATTGTATATGCGTTAGAAGTCTTAATATTAATCCAATGTTTGCATTTTCATTATTATTTATTAATGTATAATATATGTAGAAAAGGCAATTTCATCTTAAAATATACGTTACTTCAATATTTTACATTGATTCAATTTTAGTAAAAATAGAATTTTTTATCTCTCAGTATTTTTTTAATAGTATTCAATTAATTGATTTAATCAAATATATTACTAAATAATTAAGTTTTTTTTATAAATTATTATTTAAAGTATGTAATAGATATGGCTAAGTGCATTTATATAAGATTTTTGTTTGTGCTAATCATTTTGATATTATTTCAATAAAAATATTTCATTTTTATATTTTTAATAATGAATGAATTGAGTACATAAATATTTTTTAAAATAATAAAATTAATAATTTATATATTTTTTACTAAAAATTTATTCTATGTTCTGTTCATTCTGGTAGTCTCGATGAACATAAAAGGTCACTTGCGAGAAAAAGGTGAAAACCGCAGCAGAGAAGAGAAAAAGAAAATACGTTGAACCAACACTTTACCAACTCAGGAACTGCGACTTTCTTCCCTTTATATCCTCGGCTTGTCGCCTTCTTTCTATTTCGTTTATCAAATTGCACACACCTCCCACTCATTCTTGTATGTCCTACTACTTATTTTTTGCCATAGCATACCTTCATCTTTTTTACCTTTTTCTCGTTACTTATGACCGTTATTTTAAAGATCCAGAGAATTGCAGGAGTAGTGTCATTGAACTTAAGGTTCTTATAGCATCTACCATACGATATGAGCAGTCACGGCCCGATCCGTTTTGACGTTTGCGTGATACGTTAAACCTTGCGAAAGCAGCTGCTTAAAATGGTTGCACCGTTGCCTTCATTCGCATAAAGGATGATGCCACTGAGAAATGGATTACAATATAATCGGCTGCTAATTGTAGATTCCTGAAATTTGTACACGTGTTTACCAAATTTCTGGAAGCATAGGTTCATTTAAATTACTACTTCCTACATTTTTTCAGTTATATAATAGTCTTATCTACTTCTAATAAATAATTTGGTATTTAGTCGAAACTTCAACGTAATGTAGAGACAAGTGTATATTTGTATTTATTACAAGCTGGAAATTTACACAAATCGCCGCAGTTGGAATCATTTATAATATAATACTATAGTTGCTACAATATTTTCTTCCTACATAAGTAAGTAAAATTAATGGTTCAATTTCTAAGTAGTTTTAGAGAATAATACATTATGAAAGTTTTAGATGTACTATATACGGAAAATATTTAAAGACATTGTTAATACATGATCATCAGCTATAGTTTCTAATATATTATTGTGAATACTACTCTATTAACAATACATATGGAAACACAAAATTAAAACAAACCACTACTTTATTCATTTATAATATTATATATAATATAAAAATTAATGAAATTATATTTTATTAACTTTATCAAAAATTATTAATTGTAACTGTTATTTATATTTCGAAATCTAGCAATTTGTAACCATTTTTTATTAATTCACTTTAAATATAACTAGTTCATTGTTTTATTGCTATGCTACTACAAATTATTGAATGAAGTACGGTCAGTTCCTATACATTAAAATATTAATTAGTGTTTTATTTGTAACAAAGAAGTAATAATTTATAATCAATTATACTATATACTTGTATAGGAAAATTAGTCATTTTTGTACACTAATTAATTTCTGCATATCTGTACACTACTAATCTGTATACTAATATTCAATACTATATTAATGTTTTTGTTAGCTATAATATTCATAGTTAAAAGTAAACTTTGGTAAAATTTTTCAACAGTATTTCACAGTTTTTTCAACATTTCTCAGAAAAAGTTAAATTTGAATTTGTATTTTTATATTCAATTAAATTATGTATAGTTATAACAATAAACTTGTAAATTAATCTTTATTATTTGATTATATTTTCTTCATCATTCATTGGTATTAGTGAATTTTAATATTTAATTTTTAGTATTTAATATTATATTTAGTAATAATGTAAAAAGTATGCAAGGTTTCCAATATATATCCCATCTATTTTTTTACTTTATAAAGATTAAATTCGTATCTATTTTTTTTCGTGTGTATGCATAATTTATTTTTTGCAATTTATTCTTATCATATAATTTTATGAAATGAAAAATAGATTAATGAAACGGGTCTACGAATTATAATAAAATAAAATGGATATAGAAATATTAATTGTTGTTAGATAAGGTATAAAGCATTAATTATAATAAACAAAATTCACAAAAGACAAATAGCAGAGAAGAGGATAATTACAATGGCTGGTATGAGATAACACGACCGATTCCAAAATTCTATCTAATAAAAACTCTTGAGGTTTAAACAGATATTAAAAAATTGATATATACAATATATCGATTGCGCTTTAAATCACTATACAAAACTGTTCGTAAATTTTCAACATGTTTTCTCTCTTAAAATTGTTATCATTCTATTTCTATTGCTTGTTTTCCATTTATTTCTATTTATCACTAATACAGAGCTTCTTCAACATAGATCCGTTACTATATTTTACATAAATTCTTCTATTTAACCTATTTAGAATTAACCATCTTATTCTTTTATACTTTTACACGAATTGTAACTTTTGAAAGCTTCCAAACTTAATAAAATTAAAGATATTGGTGTTCCTGATTTATGCTTAAAGTATTACAAATAAGCCTTGAAGTCCGATTCTCTATTTTCTTGATGCTTTTTTTGTTTCGTGGGTCCAAAACATATAGAGTATAGCCTGTGAGTGTATTTTCAGTACTCAACCACTGACTATTCTCCTCAATAAATAAAACTCAGCAATATTGGAGAAGTAAAAAATAATTGGTATGATCACGAGCACCAAAAGCCAACGCTTATTATGAGCCACAATACGAAGGATCGATCGATTTAGCTACTAGTTCCAGCAAACACCTGTTCGTCATTATGCAAGCGTGAGCCTCAAATCGACTTCGGGTCTTTCTTTGTCAGCATGCATATCTATCTTTTCGGAGTTTACCTTTGTGATCATGTTTTTAGAAAATGAGTGAGCTCTTGTTCATATTTATATATGCTTCTATTCTTTCAGAATTTCACAGAAGTCGAACATATGATATTCAACCAGAGTAAGAAACGTGATGTGACAAGAAAAATAAAGTTCACCTAGAACAAAGAAAAGGCGGAATACTTAACTTTTAAAAGCGTGACATATGGTGCTTTGTAGCCATTTTATTTGATTCATTAATTTATCTTGTATACAAAGATGTATTTATGATGCCTTCTTAAGTTATTATTTTATCGGAATTTATATCTAAAAGGTTTAGCCTCGTACGTTGTTCAGAATGATGGAAACATGATCTTGATTTTCAACGACTTTATTTATTTGGTAGTGAAACTGACATTTCAAATTTAATTGTATTCGCTATATTAAAAATCGAATAACTATGTCATTAATTACAAAATTTAGTTATAAAACAACTCCGAATAAAACAATTCCGAATGAATTAATATAACAATTGTTACTTTACTTAAGGGTCAAATTTCAACTATTATTCACATAGTATAAATACGATCGGAATATAATCTTTCATATAATTTAAAATATTTAAATTACTATTAATTTGTCTTAAAAATTTCTAAGCATTATTTATAATGCTCAAACACATATTTCAATAATATAGTTATTAGAATATAAGTATTATTTATAACTTTCACATAATAAAATAAATTTTAATCATGTCTGTTTACTTTATGCTACACATTCAATAGTTATATAACTAGAAATTAGATTGACGCTTTTCATAGAGCAAGATATTTTTATGTACTATAAAAAAAGTAGATATTAAACATGGTGAATCATTATTATATTTGAAGAAATAAATATGTGATCTTTCATAACATCAGTATGTTTTTAAAATATATTTTATAAATCATTTATTTATACTATATGGATAAAAATTTAAAAAGAGCCAGTTTATTAAATAAACCATAACAAAATGTATAAAGGTTAGCATTATTGCCACTGTTGATTTATAATCACTACTTTTAATTTTGATAAATTGACATATGAGATTTAAAGTTACATGAGCATTATATTATAAATTACTACCTCATTAATACGTTGCTTATGAAATTGAAACATTTTAATAAGATCGATACATAATTTTTGATAACTTGACACTTCGTTCATAAATCTAGTTGATACAATTATGTACAATTACAATTATATACAGTGTATTCATTATTTTATTTGCATCATTTTAAAAATTTCAATGTAAAAATAATGTCTTTAAATATAGAAAAATATTTTTTATTTGATAATAGAATTTCCGAATTTGTATTTAAAAAAAATTTATGAAATGTTTATCAACTATTTTTCACTTTATATTGAATACACAAATCGTAACAGTTAATTTTAATTTTTGAAGTCAATTCAGTCTCTTTGTTCATCAAGAATACTTTAGAAATTAATATAAAATATTATAAAAGTCTTAATAAAAAATATTAAATTACTTAAAATATTAAATTATCGGAATAATTAGAATTTTTATTAGATTATTTATTAGATTATAATAGATTTTTGAAAATACTGAATATTTTAACATTTTGGTATATAAATTGTTTTTGAAAATTCGGTATAACCGAATAAAACATAATTACGAAATGTATATTTTTACGTTCTTAATTATAAGGATAAACACAAGTAAAATATTTATTAATACTACCTTTGTAAGAGAATTGTATTATAATTTATAAAGTGAAATCCAATGTCTAGTGATTTCAAAGTAAGTTATTAGATTACATGAATCAATGACATGCATAGTTAATGTAGTTCTGAAAAATTCGTCAGGTTGGCAATTCGAAGCCGTTAGCAAAGCGGAGTAGTAACTTACCTTTAATAAAGCTTATTGAAGGACCTTAATTATTAAAGTCGATGAGATAACTCGAGCAGACTTCTATCCAGCCTAATACTAGCTTCAATAGGATGCCATACATTCCACAGTTATTAGAAACATTTACAGTAGTGTGTGCAGGACGGCGTCAATGCGTTACACGAAGCTCAATATTTCATATACGTTAATCGGATATTAGACTATGTTATTGATTCGATTCTCATTGATTCATCAATAGAAGATTGATTTGTAGTCTATGTGTTCAATTTCCATTTTCGCTTTCAATATATAGTGACAACCGAGTTGCATAAATTGGAAACGAATAACGTGTGTATATATATATATAAATATATATACTCGATTAGTTACAAATTATACTGGTGCGTTAATGTTTATTTTTTATATAGATCCTTATGAATTATTTTGGTTGAAATTATTTTAGAAAAGTATTTAAAATGATTTTGTTTTTTTGAAAGATGATATATTTAAAATACATTGTATTATTCGGAAACGAGTTCAAATACCGCTAAAGATAATGAATACATTACAAAATTATTTAAATATATATTACCACCTTTTGTTATTTTATTGTTTCTAACAACATTCCTAGAATTAAAATTTTTTACGTTGAATGATTTTATATCATGTTACTTTCACACTATGTAATTTAAGCCCGTAAAATTTCATTTATTATTAAAATGTATTATAGGAATAAAATAAAGTTCTCAACTATAATTTTTTCTTCGAAATTAATGAAGTATATTAACATATATTCAAACACCTAAAAAATTCAAAATTAACTTAAACAAAAATTCAGAAACATTTCACGATTGATGTATTTTGTTAAACTGTAATTATTTTCAAAAAAACTTATAAAATTTATATGAAAGATAAATGCAATGAAATATATATTATATTATTATGTTATTTTATATTTTGTACATGATTATTGGAAAAAATAGAAAAAAAATTTGCCTGTTTCTTATAGAATTATTAAATTATTTAAAATATATTTCAATTTAAACTTTCAAATCATTTATATTATTCATATAGTCTTTTTAGAACTTTTAAAAATCTCTTTATTTTGTTTAGCGGTTACATATTTAATTTAGAGCATAACAAAATTTAATGGCTTTTGAATCTTCAATAACTAGTTGTAATTTTTATTTTGTATGTGCAATATTAACAGTTCTCTTTGTTTATTTTTTAAATAAGAAAATGTAAATGTATCTAGATTGTAGATAGATACATGTCAATGAAACTTCAAATAAATTTGTATCTTTATTCATAATCGTGTGTGAATTATTTTAATGTGAAATTATCTTGATTTTTAATTAGGACAACAGCATCAGCAGTTCCGAGCCTTGGGGCTTGGGCAGCGTCCGTACCTTGGGGGACCCGACTCCTTTCGAAGCCACTTGCATGAATTAGAATCTTATCGACGAACAAAGCATCACCATCATCACCACCATTCAACGACGGCTCAACTTCAAAGTTCCACCGGCATCAACAACAATAATTCTTGCGGCAATCCTAACAACTCGTCAACAAATTCACCATCTTCCGGTAGCCATCTGGCCAGTGCTGGCGGCCCTAGTGCTCACCAGGACTGCTTCAAGCACAGCCCTCAACATGGCGGTAAGTTACTAATAATATGTATTCTCACACCTTCAATTTTATTTCGAGTCATAGCTTATTTCCTTTAAGTTTTGTGGTCTATTATCATGTTCTTAGTTTAACTACAATTCAAATCTTTTTAATGTTATTGCGTTACCTATAACAAACATAATATTAATTATATTTACATAAATGGATAACAAATCTTTTTAATTTTGTTTTATCCGTAAGAATTAACTTAGTTTATATTGGATAAATAATTTGGAATAATTTATAAAGCCATTTTTAAAGGTGTTTATTATTTTTCTCAATAATATAATAAATTTTAAAAGTTTAGAATTAAGAATTTTTTTTTATTTCATTTTATACTTTTTATACGTATTACATGATTAAATTTACATTAAAATAATACATTTTTATTTGTTTAATTATAAGTATTACATGTAAATTTAACATTTATAAAATTTCTTTAAAAAATAAAATTAAAAAAATTTACTTAAAAGGTAATTTTTTAGAAATATTTTTTATATTTACAAATAATAGTAATGTTTTCGAATTTATAATAGAAGTTTTAATTTCAAATGTACTCATATATTTAATGGATTTCGTCATTATATAAAATTATATCAAATGAAAATGAATAAGAAAGCAAAAGAAAAATTAAACTCTCTTGTAATTACCTTCTGTAATCTTTATAATTCCAATAGTCACATAATGTATTACCATTAATTTTTTAATTTTTCATGTAATTAGAGTAAAATATTATATTTTCAATTTGTCTATACTGAGTGTGTATGTGTATGTTTCTCTCTCTCTCTCTCTCTCTCTCTCTCTCTCTCTCTCTCTCTCTCTCTCTCTCTCTGTATATAACTCTATTAGATGTAATAATAGAGAAAAGAGAAATAGCACTAAACTAGTAGAAAGTTAGTAGAAGGCAAATGTGATAGATCATTCAACGAAAGGAAAGAAGTAAAAAGTATGTAAGCAAGTGTGCATGTCATACAGGCAGACAGACAGAGAGAGAGAGAGAGAGAGAGAGAAAGAGAGCGGGCTGAGAGAGAGAGAGAGAAAGAGAGCGGGCTGAGAGAGAGAGAAAAGCTTAATAACGGTTGAGACTAAAAGGGAAGAACAGACTGAAACAGAGAGTCACAGTCGTTTCTGCAGGTAATAGTTTTATACCTCGTTCCGGCTGTGCGCCCACTAATTCCGTATAATAACGTCATTCAACTTTACTCTCTCTTTCCTCTCTCTTTCTTTCTGTTTTTCGCTCTCTTATTCTCTCTTGATTATACTAGGTATTGTCGTTATAGCTGTTGCTGATGTTAATGTAGTTAATGCATTCAATTTCTTTTCTAAATATCTTTTCCTTATTATTTAAATTTTTTTATTAAAAATTTCTTTTTTCATAATTCAAGATACTTAAAAATATATGAATTTATCATGTGTGATATATTTCCATAGCATATTCTCTACTTTTAAAACAATTTTAAATATATTAGTAACAAGATAGTATTAAAAGAATTGATTATAAGTATTAAGTTCCAATTCTGTTTTTACTAATAATTATTAAAATTATTAAAATAATTACTAAGTAGACAAATGTTAAATATCTTGTTCCATTTTCATAGATTTATGTACTTTATTCATGTAAATATCGAAGCTACTTGGAATCCTAATCATTTTCAACTTCCTACATGTTTATATTATATTATTACTAATATATTATATTTATGAATGACGATTTTAAATATAATAAAGCGTGCATAAGAATACCGGAATTAAGTGACAATATTTAATAACATTTTAATATAATTTATATCCATAGTTTCATTTTTACGTTAAATATTATTTTTAATATAATAAAACTACATGCAAATATATTAGATATTAATGAATAATAACGAATAATTTTTATTATACAAAAATAATGGTATTTCCGATTTTAGATTACACTTTATAGATTACAGTAAATACGTATTACAAATTCATTTGGGTATACTTATAGCTGTTATGCTATAATCAAAACGACATAAAATTTGGTTACTCTTATACAATTATAATATTTTATTTATTACAATATACTTTCTAATTGATACATGTAATTATATTAAATATTTGTATTTCAAATCATAAATAAATAAAATAAAATTGCAGTAAATGAAATTTATGTCTAGTTTTTTAATATAAATTTTTATATTTTATACAAAATACAAAGAATTTCATTAAATTTTTTAATATTAACATATATCAGCTATGTAACAATTAAAAAAGAGAGAAATCAAGAACTGAAAGAAGATTAAAAAGTAGAAGGAGTAGTTGATTGATCAGATTGCGTCTTTTTTGCTACTGGATTATCAGCCGTTGCCTTGTAACACGATCAGCCGCATGATTCGTTTGGTATACATTAAAAAGAGAAAAATGAAAATCAAGGAAAAAAATTATATAGAAAGGAATACGTGATTTAAATCTTAGAATATCTAATTGATAAATATCTAAACTGTCTAAAAACTGTCGACAGTTTTCAACAATTATTATATAGTAGATACTGATACATTAAAACTTTTTTTTCTTTATTAGTTAGTTGATTTTTTTACATATAATTTTTAAAATATTTTTTCTTTGCTCAAATGTAATATTCTATTAACATTCAATTTTTTTAAATTTGTATTATGTATCTTTTAAATAGTTATGAAAATATATTTCATATATCTATTATATTATTTAATATTTGTAATGATTATAAATAAAATCTTATTTAAATATATACTACAAATAAGTTTATTTAAATGTAAAAATACCATTAAATAGTATTTTAAATTTTATACTATACTATATTTAACTTTACATACATTAATAAAATACGTGATAATTAAAAATTCACATGTTCTATATTTTATTTAAAACATTTCTTCTATTTACTGATGAAATTCAGATATTAAAAAACAATTTATAAATAACGAAATTACATATCTGTCTATATAATAGTTAATATTTCTTCTAAATTAAATACGAATAAGTATAATCATAAATCATTAATTTTGACAATAATTTGTTAATTTAAATTATGTTTATAAGCCTGTCATTAGTAATTTAAAAAGAATGCCAAATCGTATGTTTTATCATATTGATATTTTTATACAAATAACTTCATCTTTGCATTTATAATATTTTATTTTTAAAATCTTATAGAAAATCATTTTGGAAAGCTGGCACATTATGTCAACAATCGAGTGAAAATTTATCTGATATATTAAAAAATATATGATACGGATCGTTTGTTAGTTTCTTCTTTCATTGTCTTTTTCTTTCTCGACTGTACCTCTTATGGTCTTGCGTCAATGGTCTCTACCTGATCAAACTTAAGTAGACTTGCTTTTGCACTCTTATTTTCTCTCTCCTTCTCTTATTCTCTTGCACCTAGCTGCTATTTTGGTAAGAAGGAGAAACCTCTTTGAAGGCAACATGTTGTGGTTTCTCTCTGTGCCCTTTACCCGTCTCGCACTCTCGTTTTTCTTTATCCCCCGCTTACCTTTTCGTTTCATAATTACCTTGTTTGCCTCTCGCGCTCTGAATTTTGCCAAGGTGCACTAAACTATGAGCTTGTCGTGGAAAAAAGGTGACACGAGAGTGAAACAAAGAGACAAAGAAATACAGAAATAAACTAAGAGAAAAAGATACAAAATGAGAGAGAAAAGGAAAAATTGAATGCACAAGAGTATTAAGAAGGGAAGCACGACTTAAAAAGTCGTGTTTGCAATCTCCTTCGTTGTAAGGAACAATAACGAAAAGAAAGAAGCATAAAAGGTAGACATGTACTGTCGATGAAATGTTTATAAACTTTCCATTTTGTCTTGAAATGATTTCTTTTGCTAAAAAACAATTATTTGCATTAATTTTATAGATTTTTATTTTTATTCTTATAAAACTAATTATAATAAATGGATATTCGATTGGCAAAGATTAAAATTTCTTTTAAAGGTAGTTATATTATATTACAATATTTATTTATTAATTTTTAAAATATAGTTAATAAAATTTAATTTAATTAATAAAACAATTAATTATATTACAATACAAAGAAAGAAAGACAAAAAAAGTACTTTTCTATTTTTAATCGCATATGCACATTATTTTAGTAGAAAGTTTATATACCCATATAAAATAAACTAATATTATTCTAAGAATATAAAGATACTAAAATAGCTAAATAGTCAAATAATTTCAAATTCCAAAATGATGGTAATATATATTTCAAATTAAGATTATATCTGAGAATTTAAGTAAAGCAATTTAAATATATACAAACAACTGAATAAATTAATAAAAATTGATTTGTTATAAACATATATATTAATAACTAAATAAAACTATTTAAAACTAATAATTGCAAACTAATTTACAGTTGATATATAATAATTTATATATAATTAATAATATATATAAATAATATGTAATAATAATTAATAAATTATTTGTCGTAATCTTAATTTTAAAAAGAATCATATTGAATTAATTTGCAATTTCTATTTAGCATTAATATGAATAAAGTGAATCATTAATACATACTGTTTCTGATTCACTTTAATCAAAATCAATCAATAAAGTACTTGAAAAGTCATTTTATATGCGTTCCTTAAAATGTTTTAATACAACCATTTATGGAAGAGTAGCTGTGTAACACTGAGAAAAAAATAAATAAGTTTCCAACATCAGTTATATCAACATTTTATATAGTAATATATTATTTTAATGTTAAATAATACATTTATTATATCATTTTGATGAAAATAGATAACACAAATTAAATGATTCCTTATAAAAAAAAATTTAAGCGAAATAGAATGAATCAAATTTTTTAATTAATTATTATATAATTACTTTTCGATATATATGTATCTACATATATATATATATATATATACACATATGCGTTTGTAGGCATGGGTATGAATGTAAAGAATGTGTGAATATTTTATATACAGAAAAAAATTATCTTAAATTCATTTTCATCACAACTTATT